ACTCATTTTCTTAAAAAAAAATACATATGATCTTTACAAGATTCAAACATGCATGCAACCTCAATGTCTAATTTTAAATGTTTTACCAATAAGTTATGAAATATTTTCTCAAAAAAAAAAAAAGTTATGACATATTTATGTATTCTTTGTTAAACAATATTTACATATCTACTGTATAAAAGGCTTTTCATGTCGATTTTTGGGTTTAGTGGTGACCACAAACAATACGATTTTCCATAATTTTATAAATGTGCAAAAAAAAAAAAAAAAAAAAAAAACTACAAAAAAATGTCCATATAGAAACGGAATTCAATCCGTTTCTAAATTAGAGACGGAATTTAAAAATCCGTCTCTAAATTAATTTAGTGACGGAATTAAAAAAAGCTGTCTCTAAATTAGCAACAGAATTGAAATTCCGTCCCTAAATTAGAAATGGATTTTTTTCCGTTGCTAAATTAGAATGGATTTTTTCTTTACGTTGCTTAATCTAGCAACGAATTTATTTTCCGTTGCTGAATTTAGAGACGGATTTATTTTTTCCGTTGCTAAGTTAGAGACGGATTTTTTTTTTGTTCGTTGCTAAATTAGAGACGGATTTTTTTTTCCGTTGCTAAATTAGAGACGGATTTTTTTCCGTTGCTTATATGAGCGAGACGGATTATGTAAATTAAATTTGTCTCTAAACTAGAAATGGATTTTCAAATCCGTCTCCAAATTAGAAACGAAATTTTAAATACGTCTCTAAACTAGAACACAACGTAACATTGATATATAAAGAACACAATAAATTCAGAGAAATTGTTTCAAAAAAGGTAAAAGATAATTATTAATTGATTTTTGTCCCGTAATAATGTTAAATTATTTCAAAATATTCAGTTTCTATCTAAAATTATCTTTTGAAAAAAATAATTCGAGGTTTTGTTTTCAGATATAAAAAAAAAATCAAAATTTAAAACTTTATTTTCAAAATTTTAGTTTTCAAATGAACATAAAAGAAAAAACTATTCAAGTAAAAAGGACATATCTTGTATTATTAAAACTAAAAAGGAATATTAAATTTAATTATATAACTTAAAGAATATAAATAAATTTAATTGTAATGAACATATAATTCAGACCCAAAAAACATATTAATTAAAATCAATGAACATTCCAATTAAAAAAATGAATATGGATCCAAAAAAAGGTAAAAGAACATTCATCATAAGTTAAAGAACATCTTCTTCAACCTCTAAAAATACACAAAATTAAGAAAAAACAAAGTAAAATAAATAGATAAATTGAAAATTACCTTTTTCCTAAACAACGAATTCGTCAATTACATCTTTCTATTACAAGATTCATTGAAACAACTCCATAATAATATTAAATCACTTTGAAATTCATAATTTTCTATTGTTTCTCTCTCTATGTAAAACCACTTTCTCTCTCCATACAAAGAAATGAAAGTTTTTTAACCAACAGTAATTTATAAGATGGAGTGTAAATAATAAATCAAATTTTGGAATATAAGTAACAAACCAATACGTTAGATCAAGGGAGGAAATGTTTTGAACTTTTTTTTTTCTCATGTACTTTATGTTAATATACAATGTTCTTTATATTAATATACAATGTTCTTTCCGCGTTTTTTACAAGTCTTGTATTTTGACCAGGTGTACCATGCATGGTACACCCGGGTGTATGATAAAATTTTCAGATTTAAGTTCCGTCTCTAATATTTCTTTCACTTTATCAATTATGTGTTTAGAAGTAAACAAGTAATATTTGGTATAGTTGGTAAGAGTTTCACTATGTGACTTTGAGGTCACTTGTTTGACTCCTATCAATTGCAATTCTTGCGATTGGGGATTCAAGGAGCCTTACATGCAAAGCCGAGTCAGGTCGAACCAAATAGACTCTCCTTTTAGAGTCAAAATATTTTTTGTTGCTAAATCCAACGACGGATTTATTTTTTGCGTCGCTAAATCTAGCGACGGAATTTTTTTCTTCCCATTGCTATATCCAGCGACGGATTTTTTTCCATCTCTAAATCCATTTAGCGACAAGGTTTTTGCCAACAGAGTGATTCTGTCAATATATCCGTAGCTAGCTATGTCCAACGACGGATTTTTAGAAATTAGCAACAGATTTCGCTTGTCGCTAATAGGCCAAATTTTTGTAGTGAAAGGGTGGATATGATTAATTATGTTTTTCATATCGATTTTATATGGGATCGATTTCCATGACGACACGATTGTAAAATGATACAATTTCTTCTTCTTTTTCACAAATGTACATGCATATTGTAACGAATGTATATTCACTACAAAATAATAGCTACGAAAAGACAATTTTCTTATATTGATTTGATCTACTTCCTAAATATGTTGACCTGGTATGTAGCTTTTCAAGTTGAGCACATTTGCTTCCCAGATACGCTCACTTTGGCAAATTAGAGATATTCAAGCCAACCTAGCTTTTCAAGTGAAGTATATTCGCTTCCCATGTTCGCTCACTTATGGACAACAAAGATTTTTAAGCTGGCTTAGCTTTTCAAGTTCTACACATCTACTTCTCAGATATACACTCACATGGGGAAAATCAGAAATTTTCAAAGCAATTTCCCACAATAATGCTAGAATAAAAATAAATTTCCTTTGTGCGTCAATTTGGAAACTAAGGGCCTATTCTCTTACGTTGAAATTCAGTTCAGTTCAGTTCAGCTCAATTCAGTTCAACTCACTTCAGTTCAGTTCAGTTCAATTCAGCTCAGCTCCTAATTTCCTTCTCTTATAAAATATTCATTTCATTTCATTTCAGTTCAGTTCAGTTCAGTTCAGTTCAGCTCAGCTTAATTCAGTTCAGTTCAGTTCAAAACCGCTAATGACAATAGCGGTTATAGCTTTAAAACCGCTACTGTTATTAGCGGTTTCAGAAAAGAGACCGCCTATTTCAATAAACAGGTCTCTTTTCTTCCTTAATCTTTTTACAAAAAAGTAAGGAGGCAAAGAGACCTGTCAATAAAAAAGGAGGTCTCTTTTCTGAAACCATGTCTTAGCCAATAACAGGAAAGAGAGCGCCCACATTATTACTGTTAAGTTCAAAGAGACCTAATTTCATTAATAACCGGTCTCTTTGCTTTTTTTTTTTTTTTTTTTTTCCAGCTAATGTTGCTAGTGGTTTTAAGCCAAACCAAATACCAATCATACATGGACGGTATTTTGGGAATTTGTTTTTAAATGAGTGTATAGTGGGAATTTGTTTTTGTTTTAACATTATTGAGGGAAATTGCTCGAAATTTTCAAGCCGGTTAAGCTTTTCAAGTTGAGAATATCTACTTCCTCGATCGACACGCTCCCTTGGGGGGGATACGCTCACTAAGAGGGAATCAAATGATTTTAGGCAACTTTTACATTCACCGATCAAACGAACCTTTCAAACGAGCACATTAGTTTCACGTATGCTCTAGCTCACTTGGGCACCTAGTTGTACGAAATAATAATATACACTGATATGGATTAGATAACCAGGCCGGATCTGCACATTTGGATCATGATCAATGATGGCTCATATCCGTATTGACCTTTCGAGCCTGCCACATGGAGACCGACCTTCTTTTGGCCACGTGGACACCCACTGCCCACTTGACAAGACACCCACGTGGACCGACATGTAGCAAATCAGATGCTTGGGGATTTCTGTAAATACCCCAACATATCTTATATCTATGGTACTATATTCTTAACCTAAACACTCTCAAATCACTTTTCTAGCGTGCTACTCATATCATCCCATTACTGACTTTAGCATATGAACGATTATTCTCGTACAATCCCCGAGGGCAGCTAATATACGTCGACTGTTCAAGTTTCCAATAAGACGATAAACCATTATTAGTCTAGATACAAGTTACCAAAACTCACCCGAACAGATTGTAACTTTCTTGTTTCTTATTATACATGGGGATATGTTAGTTATTGAAAATCTATTGAAACAAGTTATTACCTCTAACTTGAATCACCTCAAAATCAATTCTATACTGAGAAATATGTGCATTTGATGTTAGCTTTTTACCATTTAATTTCTCACCCCTAGATTTCAAGTCATGATTGAGTAACAATAAAGATTGAATTGGTTAATCTGTATTGACATACACTCCATCATTATACAAACTAATATGCCATCAGACAATTACCATTCAAACAAAAATTAAAGAACTCTAAGATACAAAGAAAGCGAGTAATAATAATATAATATCACGATTTGAGTAGTGACATACAATCCCTAGTATAGCATAGGTTAAACGGTAAAAAGTAGGAGAAAGGTAGAAAAGAAAAGAAGAGGGCAAAGAAAGACAAAGAATTGATTATATTCTTGTCTATGGAAGTGAAGGTGACGTGAAACTAACAACAATAAAGTCTGTGTAATATAAATGCAGCTCTCTCTTTACTGAACACATCCCAATTATATACGCACTTTTATTGTAGGGTGCACTTATTTATAGCTAACTTATTCATTATGCAGCATTTAGTTTCATCCCCTGGACCATTTCCCACACTATCATGACAACTAATAAATCTTCACTTTCACATTTTCATTTTTTTAATCAATTCATTCACTCAATTATTATTTACTTTAATTTTTTACTATCTGAAATTGAACAACGCCGTTCAATCAGTTGACTATGTAATCAATGTAACTTTATCTATAATTATGTTGAAGAAGAAAAACTAAGGGCATATGTCTTTATTTACTTAACCTTGCCCTTTTTTTGATAGATTCTTCAATGACTTTTATTGCATGACATACCTTAACCTTCTTACTTGGTAACATCATATGAAAAAAAGATAAAAGATGAATACAACAATAATGTATGTAGATAATTTCACGGTACACTTTAAGGTTTTTATTGTTTTTTTTTTTCATCGAATTTATTTGAGATGTGTCTTTTGTGGAAATCAGCTTGGATTCTCTTTAGTTTTTACTTGATCAAGTTATCATCTTCATAGTGATGAGTGGATTATAATTTAGAAATGCTTAATCTAAGATAGTAAGAAGTATATGAAACGATATATTTACAACAGGTACGATACATTGATTTGAACCAATAGGAAATCAAATGGACTGATCAAGCTAACAAATTATTTGTGCAGCTTTAGATCGATCGATTGTTGTATATGAGACTCAAGTTAAATTTCAAAGCGAATGTACAAAAGCTTTAAGTCAAAAGGTGTCAGCTAAAATTTCTTATTAATTAATCAAATATAGGCAATAATAATGAAAGCAACTACATGCTAATGGCTTGAATTTTAAGCCAAATTAATACAACATAAATAACACTTTAAAAGATTAAAAAAAAAAAAAAAAGTTTTGATGGATGAGCTTATACAAAAGAGAGAATCTAAAATTTATTAAGAAAATGATAATGCATGCAAGATTAGAACATCGGAGAATTAGGAGGAGAAGAATTGACTAAGTTGAGAATACTATTCCAATAAGTCTTGTTATCTTCATAGTAATCACTCCCACCGCTTCTAGTAGTACTACCACTACTATTATCATTATTGTTATTATTGTTGTTGTTTTCTTCTCCTTGTTTTGTTGGACTTTTCGAACCACAAATATTTGTTGTTGTTTTTGTAGTGGTAGTATCACTGGTATTATTATTAGTACTAAGCAATAGTTCCGTAAACCCTTCTATGAAACCCTCACCGTGATCGTTATGATCATCTTGGTCGTCGTTGTTGTTGTCGTTGTCGTGGTCGTTATCGTGGTCGTGGCTTTGATGGATTGAGAGGGTGTTCATGTCGTGGAATGACAAAGAATTCATCTCTATCCCATTATCAAACCCGTCGCCGCCACCACTTCGCTTCCATTGATGATGATGATCTTCGTTTTTCACCATGTCTTGATGATGACTATGATGGTGGTGATGATGATCGCTGTTGTTGTGCCCCATGAATTCTATCACGGCCCCGGCCCCGGTCCCCATTGTAGAGACCGCGGCTGGGGCGTTCTCTGAGAAGCTTAAGGTTGACGTTGGTGACTCGATTCCAACACCTATTCCGCCTCCGATCCCGGATGATGATCCCATTCCAATGCATATAAAATGATCACTATTACTATTATTATTAGTAGTACTAGTATTAGTATTAGTATGGTTGTTAGGCCACACATTATGCCAGGCCTTAAGAACATCAAGACACCTCGGAGTGGTAGTTGTAGCAGTAGTAGCCGCAGTAGCAGTCATACTAAGATACTGATGATGAGCAGCAGCTGATGATGACGTCGACGACGACAACGGACCCATCGTTGAGACGGAGGGTACAATTTGGTGATGATCATTAATGTGAATGTCTGGTGACATTGGTGACAAAAATGATGAATTATTATTATTACTATTACTTGTACTGCTAGTACCACGGAGCTTGGATTGCCGGGCAAGGCGAGCCTCGGCCTCTAACCGAGCACTCTCCCACTGAGCGATGTGGCTCAAATTGGCCGCATTCTTCGACTGCTGCCCGCCGCCCTCGGCGGCAGGCAGCAGTGCATCATTCTTAGGCTTGTGGGTCACTGGGTCTATCCCCATCTTAGCTAACCTCTTCTTCAGATGGGTATTCCAGTAATTCTTTATCTCGTTGTCTGTCCTCTTTGGTAAATGTGTTGCAATGGCTGACCACCTTGTACAAAACAAACGCATACATCAGAAAAACGTACTAAATTATCTAGTACAGTACATAAAAATGATGCAATGCAGTAACTAGTAAGTTGCAGCTAAAAACTTTAATTTGGACGGCGATTGTCTTACAAATAAAATAAATACAAACAAAATAACTTTAGAGACAGAGTGAGTATTATATGTACGGACATATATGTATATGATCATATGATATAATACCTGTTGCCTAAAAGAGCATGAAGTTGAATGATTGTTTGTTCTTCTTGTAAGCTGAATTTTCCACGCTTAATATCAGGGCGAAGATAGTTAGTCCATCTAAGTCTACAGCTCTTGCCACATCTTTGAAGGCCTAATCAAACCATAATTAAATAAATCAATTAAATCAACCATATGATATAATTCTATGAAAATGACAATAACCTTATAATGTATGCATCAAACTATATTGTTAATTGTTTCATAATTAAGAAAATAGTGTATGGAAAAAGAGAGTGATTAGCTAAATGATATGATTAATTACCGGCTTTCGTCGGTAAGGCGCGCCAATTGCCATGACCATGTTCTTCAATGTAAGCAAGAAGCTTTTGATCTTCTTCAGGAGTCCATGGTCCTTTCTTTAGACCAAGTTTATCACAGCAAGGAGATCTTCCCATATTTTTTTTTTATTCTGGGTTTTTTTGAAGTGTAAAAGAATGAAAAAAGAATGGGTTGCCTAACTCTCTTTTTACTTTATAAGGTGAGCAAATCTCATGGCCCACATCGTCAGCAGTTGCATCCCTATTTTAATACAAAAATTGGCTATGTTTATGTATATATCTTATATGGGGAAATAAAGTTCATTTACTTGTTTACTTTGATTTCATAAAATGAAAGGAAAATAACACGAGTACCATTTTTGAATTAAAGGAGATAAAATCGATCGGATAGATTAAAAAAAACTTAGATATCAATTTGTCCTTCATTCTTTTATAAATTTAGGTAACATGTTGTCAGTTAAAAACGTAAATCTTAAATTTTCGTATTCCTCTTGTACCTGTCAAAACTCAAAACATCACAAATACGGAGTAGTTAATTAATTTTAACTATTCGTTTTTAACTTTTTTGTACTTATACTGTTATACAACTTTATCTATATGACTTTTAATGGATTATAAAAAGATAAAAACTTTTATGTACGGAGTACTTGTTTGATTATGAGCGGAGTGAATTGAAACTCGTCAAACTATCTTTTATAAAAAAATCGGTGTTAATTATATAGTGTAATATAGACCAAATAATTAAAAATAAAAAGGTAAAAGAAGAAACATATGGTATATAGAGAAGCTGAACATGCAATAAATAAGATGGGGTAGTATAAGAGAAGGATCAGTAGGTCATAGATGGGATAAAAGAATTAAATGTGCATGATTCAGCGATAGCAGTGTATGTAGTAGCATATAGCTTAGAAATCAGTGATGTATACCAACATTACCCCTGCAAAAATCCAGAACTAACTCTTTGTGGCATTGGAAGATAAGGAAAAGTATATTCCTTCATTAACTACAACCCTATTTTTTTTTACTGAATACAGTAAGGAAATTTTGTATTTATTACATCATCATATTGTCTCATTGGAGTTGTTCAAGTGTGTTAAAGTCTGATCTTTTCACATTTGTTTTAGAGAAGACAGATCAATTGTATTTTTGGAAGTTTGAAAAGTATGCTTGATTTAAGAAATGATTTTTTCCAAAAAAAAAATAAAAATGATATTGAGAAATATAGGTGTTGATTCATTCATAAAAGTCGTTCTGCCCTTAAAAAATTTTGTTCAGATTGAATGAAATGGAAGAAAAGGAAGGAAAGGGAAAAGAAGGGATAGTGTATCTTTTATCTGAATAACAAATGAAGATAGACTTGATTTGGAGCGAAAAGAAATGAAGAGATGAAGTTGTGAAAGAAAAACTCATCATTCTCTGCTTTCCTCTTCTCCCCTTCTTTCCCTTCCCCTTTCTTTATCAAACTCACTGTTAATCTAATTGTTATGTGTGGACTTGACAATTAAATAAGACAATAACGATGTTTTAGATTAATATTGAATACTTCGTTCGACTCTTGAGGATTATTGTTTTTTACTTTTAATCTGATTGTTATATGATTTATTTTTTTTATCAAATACATGTTATGTGTAGATGTATGTGTCTATGTGACACTCTTACACTTAGATTGGACAAATACAATTCTATTCTATAAGTAGGACGATGTACAAATACATCTAATGTATACTTGTATATGGAGGCCACATACATGTCAACATGTGGCCTAAAATTGTGACAACATACCACAGTACAGGAAAATTAAAAATAAGGAAAGGCTGTTCATTTCTAGGGGGTAGTTTGGCTTCTTAGAGCCAAAGTGGAGATGTGAAAGAAAGTTCCCAACTAAAGCTCTAATTTCTTCACCATATTTCTGTTAAATTAAAATTATTTTTATAGGTTATTCATTATAATTCTTCTTTAAAGTTACTAATTTTTACTATAAAAAAAACATTCTCAAACATGTTTAATGCTCAATATCTAAAGGGAAGTTACTTTTTGGCAAGATTATGAAGGGCCATTATATGCTCTTGTGAAAGGTTATTCATTATAATTCTTCTTTAAAGTTACTAATTTTTACTATAAAAAAAAACATTCTCAAACATGTTTAATGCTCAATATCTAAAGGGAAGTTACTTTTTGGCAAGATTATGAAGGGCCATTATATGCTCTTGTGAAAGGTTATTCATTATAATTCTTCTTTAAAGTTACTAATTTTTACTATAAAAAAAACATTCCCAAACATGTTTAATGCTCAATATCTAAAGGGAAGTTACTTTTTGGCAAGATTATGAAGGGCCATTATATGCTCTTGTGAAAGGGAGGTATAGATCCCTATCTTTGAATCATAATATACTTTAATACTCATGCTTCCTTACTAAAGAAGAGATTATTAGATGGACAATAATTTAACACAACTCGTGAATGTTGACAACTTGACATGACTCCTTTGCAATACAAGACGGTGACAACTTTAGTATAAGGTTACCAAAAATAATACGAAATACTACATATCGTGTACATATGTTGACGCACCAATTAGGATATAATCTGCTTATTATTAGTATTTAGCAAGGTAATATTCAACGTCCTTGGAAGATCTAGGATTTGATCAATGTGTATGTGTTCCTTCTTCAGAATTTCTCCATCGTGAAGTCTTATCACGTTTACCATAAAGCCAATCAAGCAGCATATTTTGTTATCTCGCCATACAATTTCAAACAAAACTCATCAAGATATCAGACTGTAAATTTGCATAATTTATATATTCTGATAAGTTGGGTTAAAACTTACAAGGTCAACGGAAGATTTTCTAGAAAATGTTATATATATTCGGGTGTATCGTGAATCCAACAAAATCGGATTAGATTTTACTCTTCATTTGATGATTAAATGAATAACAATCCCTAAAATGAGAACAAAATATTTATGATTGCACCGTTGTTGGAATCCAATGTATCTCACTTGTGAGTGTCTCACATTGGAGAAAGAGCTGAGGTGGTAGAGGAGTTTCTCCTACTATTGCCAATTGATTTTAGTATGGAAGCTCTTAAGCCTACTTTGTGGACCAAAATCTCCTCTTTCTTGTTCGGGTCGCCCAAGCCCATGTCATATTATTTCGAAATTTAACAACCGTGCACCCGAGTGTATATAACAATCTCCGTGCATTCTTTTCTTAAAAAAAAAATGTAAAGGCACCCATTATTAAGGCCCATACATTAGAATACGATCCAAATAAAGACGAACAAGAAAAGTAACCCAAATCTACAAATTTTGGACTTGAAAACATCTTCAGCCCAATACAATACTAGGGTTAAGTTTCGAATAGCCTTCTTTATATATATTCTCTGCAATCTAGCCGTTCTTTAATCATATGTTTTCTTCATCTTTTGCATTTTCTGAAAAAAAAAAAATTGATAAGCATTTTCGCGATTTTGTATGAAATGATTTTTTTTTTGGGTCAGATTATATAAATGATTATGAAATTTCAATGTGATTTTAAAATTTGGTTTTGAAAGATTGGAGATTTTAGCACTAGTACTGAAGGCAAAGTGACTAATTGAAGTAGTCATCGTTGCTTATATTATTAATTGTGCGAGATTAATTTTGGGAGCCGCTTTGCAGTATAAATTTCTCTGATTTTATATTTGCCAGTTTTACCCATATATTATTTTTCCTATTTATACATTTATTTACAGTAATATTTATTAAAAAATAATTAGTGATTTGGAAGGAGCTAATTTGAAATATATTAATGTTTTTTATGTTATGAATCTGCGTTGATTGAGATGTACAAATGGGAGTTAAGGGTATGGCCGTATGGGTTTGATAAGAAATAATTATCTCAATTAAATTTGATATTAAAATCAGGGAAACAATGAAAATAGTTAATGGAAAATCAACTAAGAAAAATAATCAGTAATTAACATTGTTAGACGGGTTAATACAGCTACTATTAATGTTATAAGATGAGGACAAAATTAATTGTTCAGGTCCAATTGAAATTCATGTACACTATTATATATTTATATTAGTGTTCAAATCCAATTTGATGTGTTTTAGTGTTCAAATCCAATTTGGTGTTTTTTTTTTTTTCAATTGATTTCAAATAAGATGGTTCTGTAGTAGGTGTTAAAGTTTTGAACCCTGTGAAATTGTCTGATAGCACTTGGAGGTGGTGATCCATAACCATTGGCCTATTCGAACATCTAATTTCTTTTATGACCATATTAGAACACTGGGAAGATACATCCTTATGCTGATCTAGTTAGTTGAATATGACACTTATAATTTACGTCTTGGCTTGCTCTTGGACTTGGTGGGTTGGATGCCCTTTGTTCACCAATGTCCATGGATTCATTGCTTTTTGGTAGGCTAATTGTTGAATGGAAAAAGGAACTGAACACAAATCTTCTTTGATTCGATCTTCATGAGTGTTACATGCTATTTCCTACAAAAACTTTTGTATACATCCGGTTTACACTAATATTAGTGTACATCGAGCAGTATAAGGGTAACCTGTTTTTGGGTAACTTTAAACATAATACAATTTTTATCTAAATAGACAACAAGAAAAGTTTTATAAAGGTAATTTAATTACATTTAATCATTAATAATTGATTTTTAGTCATTTAAAATGTGATTCTTTACTAATAAAGTGTAGATAATTTTTATTTGAATTGGATTACTTTTACGCATATTGGGGTAACTTTTATTCATTTCAGAGGCAACTTTTAATCACTTTAATCTATCTTTATAATGAATGTACAATAATTATTAGCACCCGATTTTTTTAAAAGTTTGTGTACTTCCTAATGATGCCGCTGATATCCAAGACTCCAAGAGTGTTTAAGATTTTGAGTTAACCAACATGATTAGAGATGATTAAAAATTCGGGCAGAGTCAGGCCTAACAACAAATGTCATGTCCAAATCTCCAAAAAAGTGATTGGGCTTGTTTCCAAAAAAAGGTGATTGGACTTTTCGAGCTATTTTTAGGCCGGATTTGGGGTTTAACTAAAAAAATTGTTTTTTGGCTTGTCTAAACCTGCCTATTTTTTTTATTCTAATTGGGCTAGGTTAGCGGATCGGGCCATAGTAAATCATCTCTAAATATGATAGGTTCTCCTTGACCATGGAGCTAGTAATCACTTTGTGAAACCGAAAGGATGAAACTCTGCCTTCTTTAGCTGAAGAATAAATATTTAGGTTTTGCAAGATCAATATTTCACATTTTGCCACCATAGGTGTCTTCAATTACATTGTCATAACA